AAGGGCTGGTACTGTAGTCGAGGCCGTTTGGATGAGCGCGAGGCGGAGAGAGGTTTGCCTCCATTCACGGCTACCGGTGCTGATGTGGTTCGACGAGTAGTAGTGGTGGGAGTAGTCAGAGCTCTGGTCGCGACTTTGGGCTCGAGTTTGCGTTTAGACGACCGCTGTTTGGGCTCCACTTTAGGCACAGAATTGCTTTTCGCGTCTAATATAACCGCAAAATCACACAAAAAATACAAATTAATCCCAAAAACTAATTACAAAAACATTAATAAAGAGCAATTAAAACTGAATAAATAATTAGCATAACATAACGCAAGGACTGGGAGGTCCCGATTGGCTATACTATACACATACTAAACTAATCATACCTGTGCTGGGTGTCTGCGGGGACAGGGAGTTCACCGTAAGTGTGGTCTTTGTCACCCGCACTGAACTCGAGTTAACCACCGGTTGCTGAGCGGTAGTCGTGGCCGTTGACCTGCGCCGGGAGCCCAGTGTCGCCAACAGCAGTGGGGCGCCGGTAGTCGCGGCTCTATCGCCATTCGTCACGCGTATGGTTGACCTCATTATTGATACACAATATTAATATGAATGCAAATATAAATCATTACAATATAATGAAAAATACTGTAGTGTTCATAGCATAGCCTACAAAATACTTTTAAAACAGTGAGTATTGCATCGAAAACGCTAGAAAATGCATTCATTCACTGCTAACCATTACATAACATTACGTTATGTCTAATGTATGCAACGATTAAAATACAAGAAACAAAATAGTTGTCTATTATATACAACATTGCAATCAATTTATCGATAAAAATAACATAAAAAGCAATTACTCTGAATTAAATTTGACGAAATGCTTAACTAGTAGTAAATATATATATTAAGGGGTTGTTTGACAGGGGGCTGGTATGCTAGCGCTGCAAAACTGGGCTAATTTTTTGTATAGTTCATTACCCCGGTACAGACTAGTTTTTAATCAAGGTTACCTGTCTGAACGCCCCCACGTATGTCGTAATAATAGCAATGCATAATAGATTAGTGTATTGTATAATAGACTGGAAAACCCCTACCAGTCCCCTAATAGCTTACTTTGTATGCCTTTCCACCGAAACAAAGCTCATCCTTGAGGTCCTCTTATTAGACATTTTTTTGTGTCAAAAGTNCCCAAAAAAAACTTATTAATTTACAAATTATCTCATTGTTTGACCACAACTTACCACTCATTTGCAGACAAACTATGGCATCGATTGCGATACCCGTTGACAGCAATTGTTAAACCAATTGTTGGTTAAAAAATCTCAACAAAAAAAAGTATTACTTTTGACACAAAAAAATGTCTAATAAGAGGACCTCAAGGATGAGCTTTGTTTCGGTGGAAAGGCATACAAAGTAAGCTATTAGGGGACTGGTAGGGGTTTTCCAGTCTATTATACAATACACTAATCTATTATGCATTGCTATTATTACGACATACGTGGGGGCGTTCAGACAGGTAACCTTGATTAAAAACTAGTCTGTACCGGGGTAATGAACTATACAAAAAATTAGCCCAGTTTTGCAGCGCTAGCATACCAGCCCCCTGTCAAACAACCCCTTAATATATATATTTACTACTAGTTAAGCATTTCGTCAAATTTAATTCAGAGTAATTGCTTTTTATGTTATTTTTATCGATAAATTGATTGCAATGTTGTATATAATAGACAACTATTTTGTTTCTTGTATTTTAATCGTTGCATACATTAGACATAACGTAATGTTATGTAATGGTTAGCAGTGAATGAATGCATTTTCTAGCGTTTTCGATGCAATACTCACTGTTTTAAAAGTATTTTGTAGGCTATGCTATGAACACTACAGTATTTTTCATTATATTGTAATGATTTATATTTGCATTCATATTAATATTGTGTATCAATAATGAGGTCAACCATACGCGTGACGAATGGCGATAGAGCCGCGACTACCGGCGCCCCACTGCTGTTGGCGACACTGGGCTCCCGGCGCAGGTCAACGGCCACGACTACCGCTCAGCAACCGGTGGTTAACTCGAGTTCAGTGCGGGTGACAAAGACCACACTTACGGTGAACTCCCTGTCCCCGCAGACACCCAGCACAGGTATGATTAGTTTAGTATGTGTATAGTATAGCCAATCGGGACCTCCCAGTCCTTGCGTTATGTTATGCTAATTATTTATTCAGTTTTAATTGCTCTTTATTAATGTTTTTGTAATTAGTTTTTGGGATTAATTTGTATTTTTTGTGTGATTTTGCGGTTATATTAGACGCGAAAAGCAATTCTGTGCCTAAAGTGGAGCCCAAACAGCGGTCGTCTAAACGCAAACTCGAGCCCAAAGTCGCGACCAGAGCTCTGACTACTCCCACCACTACTACTCGTCGAACCACATCAGCACCGGTAGCCGTGAATGGAGGCAAACCTCTCTCCGCCTCGCGCTCATCCAAACGGCCTCGACTACAGTACCAGCCCTTTCAGTCGAAAGCGGCGGACACACCGGGAACTACACCCTCGAAGGCTAAGCCCATCGACGACAACGAGATTATATACGACAGGAACGACTTCCTGGCCGTCCGTAACGACTCGGACGGGTATTACATCTGCAAAGTCGTGCAGAATGTGTTCAAGAAGTCGTCCAATAAAATCAAGATCTTGTGGTATAATAACGTCGACACTACCCGTCCGCTGGTCTATACGCCCGACTTCGTAGACACGACTGAAGTGGACTGCATTCTGACGGACATAACTGTCCGCCGCTTAGATAAGGGACAGTACGAGGTGTCAGCCGATGAGAAGCTCCGGATCGAGAATATTCTGCACCGATCTATCAAAGGGCTGCCCCTAACCGGTGATACCAGTGATGATGAGGCCAGTGATACCGACCCCACGGTCACACCAGCGAAGGCTAAACGAGTCAAAGCTAACGGTGCGTCCAGTAGTGGGTCGACCGCTAAGAAAAAGGCCGCTATTATCGCTAAAACACGCGGAAAGGGAGCTAATAATGCCAGTGTATTGCCAACTAAGAGGGTGCGCCGACCCTCTAGCCGTCTGTTAGCCAGTAAAGAAACCCCCGATTCGGCCACACCTACCAAGGGATCGGCAAAATGTATGTCAAAAATACAGTAATAAATTAATTTTGTGAATAATTTTTCAAATTTGTTTTTCTCAGCCAAAAGGCCGGGTATTGCGGATGTGGTCAAGAAGTTGAAGTCTAGGGCCAGGGGTTCGGTCGGCAAAACCGATTCCACGGCTAAGACTCGGAAGAAAACGGTGTCCAAAAAGGAGACAACAAGTCCGTCGGACAAGAAAACGCCTAAAAAGGGTGTGAAAAAGGGCTCAAAATCGACGCCTACTCCCGACGCCAGTCCTAAAGGGACGCCTACACTGAAATCCCCGCGCAGACGAGTCGTCCGACAACTGACGCCTAACCTATCGGTCACGGCGTACGAGAAGGACCCGCTGTTTGAGTCGCAACTGCCGGTGCCGTACGTGTCAGCCCTGGCGCACAGCAAACTACTGATCCGAGCCGTACTGCTCCGGGACCACAAACTACTCAAGAAGTTGTTGGCCGACAGTAAGCGCATGTGTAGCCTATGTGTGCCCCGGTGTCTGGCCATCAGTCGGGACGCCATGTCCTACGCGGTCGAGGCCCAGGACTATAAGGCTATGGAGCTGTTGATGGACAGCAAAGTGGCTGAAAAGTTGGCCCCATTTCCCGATATTATGCTCACCGGTGAAGAGACTGGCCGGGGATCGGTGTATATGTTTGGCCACGCGTTGAGGAATGTCAACGTTGGCCGGGGAGGTCGAGAAGGTATGTCATTTAAATACAGTATATCTGTATGTGTTGGTTGTGTATATGATTTGTCTGTTTTTGGTGATGATATACGAGTACAACCGCTACAGACCTCATATGAGTTCTTCGGGCCATTGATTATGCGCTCAATATCTGATATCTCCTACCATACCATTACCTCCCGTTCCCTTATTTGTTGATTTAAATGCAAATTAACGTTAATTTTTGATTCACTATTAAAGGCAACAACGCTTTACTGAAGGACAGCCACCTGTACGGCACCTACGGGTGCGGTCGGTACGTGAGTAGACTGTCCAACAGTCAGATCATTGAGGATGCCGTCAAATACAACATCAAACCCGAGACAATCGACACACTGTTGGCAACGGAGCCCGACTTGATCTACCAGTTTGTAAACCATATCGTGACGGCCGTCCGTTACGGCCACCACCGACTGGCCCACTATCTCATCGATAAGGCCGTGCAAAAGGGCGGGTATGGGTTCAATGAGCTCCATAAGCACGCGTTGAGTGCCGTCAAGCCTTACCCCCAATTCCGGGCCGTTTCCATACTCAAGAAGGCCATCGGCAACGCCCGGATCACGCCTTTACACTGCGCCGCCATTAATCCCGATCCCTATCACATGCCGGCCCTGTTTGCCCAGCGACCCGACTATACGCTACTGGATATGGGGAACTGGACGCCCGTTCACTACGCGGCCGTTTGCGAGGGTATCCTACTTTTGTATAGCATTTAATGTTTGATTTTATGTTTAGTTTTTTTGAATGGAAAGTTAGTGTTTAATAATGCGAGGGAACAGTAGTTTTTAGTCAATTTGTTAATTATATTGATTTCTCATTGATAGGGTCGGCAAACTTGGAATACCTATTATCGCACGGCGTGTCCACTACGCTGATGGACAAGGAGGGCAATACACCCCTACACTTGGCCGCCCTCCGTAACCGTCCGCGTAATATAGAGGCCCTCATCCGACACGAGTCAACGGCGGCGCCGACGACAGCGACTCCGCCGCCACCACCCCCACGAGCACCGGTATCTCAACCATAGGCCACCTAAATAGGGCGGGCCGTACGGCACTGCATTGCGCGGCACAGGAGGGCCACACCGACGCCTGCAAAGTGCTCATAAGGAACGGCGCCGACATTGAGAAGCCCACGACGGCTACGACCGATAAGCTAACGGCGCTTATGGTGGCCGCCGAGTCGGGGCACCTGTCGTGCGCGCGCCTACTGTGCGAATACGCGGCCAACCCGGAGGCCAGGGATAAGAAGGGACGTACGGCCCTAACCCATGCCGTTATGAACGGACACTCGCATGTCGTGAGCTATTTGTTACGGCTGGGCGTCGACCCTAACACGAAGGACACGTCCGGCAACACGCCTGTCCACTACGCGTGCGCCTACGGCTGGTATTACTGTTTTAAACTGCTTTTGGAGGCGTCGGCGCTCGTGAATGAGCCCAACGACTGGAAACTGACGCCACTGTGCATAGCGTTCATGAAAGGGCATACAGGGCTGGCCGAGCAGGTGATCAAGGAGTCCGGTGCTAATATAGATATGCCCGTCAATGATCATACCGGTGCGTATGTGTAGGCGTATATATTTTGTGTGTGTGTTGTTATTAGGGATTAAATTAGTTGTCATTTGGTTTGAATGTGGTTTTAATTGTAGTGTTGTTTATTGTGTTTGTTTTTGGACTACAGGTGCGAACCTATTGATGCAAACGTGCCAATCGGCGCCCAATGAGCTAATGTTGGAGCGGATGATGTTTTTGATAGACAGGGGCGCCGACTGTACTAAGACTGACTACGAGGGCAATACAGCTGTGAGTTTAACCCCCTAAACAAATACCAGATTTTAAAAAGTGTATTACTGTTAGACTTATGAATGTAATGTTTGTTTGAATTACAGTTACACTATTTGGTGAAAAACGAGTCTCGGGTACTAACATACCGTTCCGCACCTACACCCGCTGCCCATTCCAGTGCTACTGCTACTCGACATAGGATTGTATTACCCGTCAGATTGAATGTGAGTACCGGTGCTATGAATGTGTTGAAGGAATAGTCATTATCACTGGTATTGTATTGACTGACAATTTGTTCACATCTTATAGTCTGACGACGAGAATGAGGACAAAGATGACGACGAGGATGAAGACAATGAGTCCAACTCTGACGACAACGTGTCCGTCCACTCGGAACGGGAGTTGACGGACGACGAGAAGGTTTGTATTAATTACTGAATACTTGCGACAATTTTAATGTGAAATCTCTTTAACCACCAGAAACGACAACTCCAGAGGCAGACACTGATGAAGGCTATGCAGCTGTTGCTGGACAAGGGCTGCGACCCCGGGACCCGAAATAAGCACCAAATGTCGGCACTGATGTCGGCGGCGGATTTGGGCTCGTTTTCGGCGCTCCATAAGTTCCTATCGCTAACTCCCTGTCCGCTAAACACGGACACCGACACCACCGGCAATACACTGCTCCACCTTCTCGTGGCCCACCCCTACAAAGAGATTACAATCGAAGACAGTCGACACAAATCATTAGCCAGCTATCTGTTTGAGGTGTACGACCGGAACAAAGCCGTGTGGAAAGGCATGTCCACAATCGGTAAGGTGAAGACCGGTCCGCGGCCTCTGCACGCCTTCCTCGGCGTCTATTCCGGTCAGTACTCCGTCGACGACACGGAACGGCTGTCGGAGTTCTTGAGGTTTTTGCTGATCGCCGCCGACAACGACGTGAACGCCTCCACCACGTGGTCGGACCCGAAGGACGTCCGGTTTGTGGTGCATATGGCCGCCAAATGCCAGACCCAGGAGTTCGTGCGACTCGTGTTGTCCCGAAAGCCAGCGCTGGAACAACTGGACGGCAATAAGAGGACAGCCCTGGCGGTGGCCATCATTGACGGCCTCACGGAGACCGCCCGACAACTCATAGACGCCGGCGCCGACGTGTCGTTCCAATCGGCGAACGACTCAAACAATTCAATACTTCTGTTGGAAGCGATGAACAATAAGACATCGTTTGAGTTGATCCCACTTCTGGTGCGAAAGGGCGCCGACGTTAACGATACGGTCGAACGCAATGGGAATACAGCCCTGCATTACGTGGCCTCCCGGGCCGACCAGAGAGGCGCCTATGAGGCGGTCGACGCCCTACTGACTGCCGGCGCCGATGTGAATGCCGTCAATAAAAATGGTAAAGAATTTTGTGTTTAATTTTATTTTAACTAATTTATGGCACACTTGTGCTACCCTTCCCATCACGTATAGACCGAACGCCACTTCATTTGGCCGTAAACTGTAGGCGCGGCGGCACTGACGACACCCACGAAGTGGAGGAACGGCTACTGAGCGCCGGCGCCCAGACTGACGTTAAGGACGATAGGGGACGGATAGCACTGCACTACGCGTTCGTCAAACGGGGCGCCCATACGGACCACTCGCATATGGATCCCATCGATTTGGTGGAACTTCTGGAGCCCATTGAGGACATGCCCGCCGAAGTGCCCGACACCACACCCGCCGTATTGATTGACAACTTCGGGTCCACACCATTGCATTACGCGGCACAGAGAGGGGCAACCATTTCGTGTATGCATTTGTTGCGGTCGATGGACATCAACCCCACCGATGATAATGGAAATACACCGCTAGGGCTGGCGGTGCTCTACGGGCACGAAGGTATGTGTTGATAAGTGGTGTCAGGCTACCTGTCCACTAGTTTTTGTTAGCATTTACGGTAATTAATGATTTTTAATTGGAAAGGCTGTTCGCTATTATTGCAACAAAAAGGGGCGGCGTTTACGGCACCCGACGGTTGTCTGAATACGAAACCAGAGCTACAGTTGACTGATGAGAGCGACGACACCCGCTGGCGATGGAACCGACTCCGAGATAGCGAACGATTCACACGGGAACTGGAGATGGAAAGAGCCAACTGTCCCATTGTCGAAGAGGTTGTGCGCAAGGATTGGAACGGTATGTGAATTATGAGAGTTCCCTTTGAATGGACTTTAATTTACGGTAAAATTTGTGGTCAATCTTCAGGTGTCTTAAAGCTGATGATTAACGAGTTGGGCGCAAAGGGAACGGGAGTTGGCGTCGTGGTGGAGTCGGCGTTCAAAACTGGGCGCCTAAACCTCGCTATTAAACTACTTAAACGTGTGAAAAACAGCCGTTCCCTACAGTCCACCGAACAGACACTGCTTCACGTGATGGCTAAAGAGATTACAGCAGACGCTGGCAATCATGATCTCCAGAAGCAAGTGGTGAAGCTATTGGTGGAACTGGATGTTAATCCCCTACAGTTGGACCGGGAGTTCAAGTCCAACGCCATAATATATTCGGCAATGAACTGGAACTACATTTTGTGCGATGAGTTGACCCAAGTGTTGGGCGGTATCGACAAAGTGGTGGCTCTGGAGCCGGACTCGCTGTTTAGGACACCGGTATCGGCCATATTCTGGGACATACATAAGCGCACTACAGGTGCCGATCAGGCGTTACCGGAATTTATGAACAAATGGTTGACACAACTGCTGGAGAAGAGTCCGCAACAGTTGAACGCCGTATCGTATTATCCGATTAGTGAGAGTCCGTACGCCGGCGTCAGGTTTACGGTCACTAACCCGACGCCAGTGGCCGCTGCGGCTGCCGGTGCTGTCAAATACACGCCATTGATATACGCCGTGATTTGTGGCAATTATCCTTTGGTTAAGTATTTACTTAATCTCAAGATTAACGACGCGTTTGCGGTCGACGTGAACCGCGCCGACAGTCTGGGAAGGACTCCAATCATGCATTCCGTCCGTTTGGTAATGGATTTTGTCTTTTATTATTGATTTTCAATTGTTATGTTAAACACTTTATGAGAAGCACTTGTATCTCATTTAGTATTGATTTGTTTTATTCATTAATTTTAAGACAATTTTATTACTTTAACCCCAGAATGACCTCAAAATGATTAAACTTCTACTGAACCCGAGCTATAACGCCGATGAGAACCGGAAGGCCTGGAAGACCAACTATAGCGACACATCTATTGACAACAAAACTGGTGTTGACTTCACTGTCAGGGACTCTAACGGATGGACAGTGTTTCACCACTTGTCGGCCCCACTGCCCGGCTATACATACCTGAACTCCGACGTGATTTGTCGACTATTGTGGTCAGTGGTGTCCAATGGGAACAAAGCACAGGCCTTACAGCTATTGAACTCCACTAACAGTGAGGGACAGTCCGCCTACAAGTGTTCCGTTGAACGTAATGCCCGACAATTGATACAAGAGTTTAAGAATATATATCTGGAATTGAAGTCTAACCCATGGGTGACTACACCTCCAGTGCCACCATTGACAGCAAATGGAGATATAGTTGACTACCTGAGCGAACCGGTAGACTACAAGTCGGACGCGAAGAAATTGCGCGAACAGTTAGACTCGGAGGCCATGGATGCGGACGATAAGGAGGACCTGGAGTTCAAACCGGATTCGCTCGTCGGCATCGACAGCGCGTATGTGTTAATAGTTTTTATGACTTGTGTTTCAAACGCTTTACTCATTTAAATGAATGAAAACTGATTTCTAATCTCGCGTTCAAACCACTGGTGACAGAGAGCTGGTGATCGACGCGACTCTTGAGATGCCGTACGACGTGCTGCTGACCAAAGTGGACATCGAGTACGGGGTCTACGGTTTGTACAACTTCTACAAAATGCAAATCATTGAACACAAAGCCAAAGATTTGGTGCTTTTGTTCACCCGTTGGGGTCGTGTCGGCGATACGGGTCAGTACCAGAAGACCCCCTTCGCCACAGCGGAGGCGGCGGTCGCGGAGTTCAAGAAGATATTCAAAGCCAAAAGCGGTAACCAATGGGAGGCGGTTAAGGAGTTTGCGGCTCAGCCTAAGAAGTATCGTATTGTGGAGCTTAAGAAGCGCCGCCGTCAACAGCACCGGCAGTATAAGTTGGATGACGTGGCGAAGGCTGCGAATACCGGTGCCGTTGCGCACAAACTCCCGGAGCCGTTGCACGCGTTGATGAAGACGTTGATTGGCTATCACTCGAAGAAGGAGTCGCTGAAGAGTTTGTCGGACGAGTCGTTCACACCATTTGGTCTCTTATCCGATGAGACACTACTGACCGCCGAGTCTTTGTTGACACAAATCGAGACATTAATCGATGAGAGGAATGGTATTAAAGAGAAAAACCAATCGCAAGACTATTCGCGTATCACTCATGAGATTATCGATCGAAGCGAAGAGTTCTATCATTTGATACCAATCTTCGGCTATCAATACGAGAGACTGAGTCCACTGTTCACTCGCGAGGCGTTGCGAGACAAACAAGAGTTGATCCATAATTTGGTTCATTTCGGGTACGCCTTTGAGCTCCTATTGGCCGCACAGTATCGGCTCCGGGATGTGAATCCGAGTGACTATATCTACAAATCTCTCGGATGTCATCTCCAGCTGTTGGACAGGAATGAAGAGGAATGTCAACTGATTCTGCAGTACATCCACAACACCACACATTACGGCAAAGCGATTGTCAAAAGTGTTTATAGGGTTAACCGGAACGGAGAGGAAAAGGCGTTCGACGGGACGGGTGTTGACAACCGGTGGCTCTTATGGCACGGGACCAGAGCTGCCAACGTGTTGAGCATTTTGGCCAAAGGGCTCCAGAAGTCGCCATTGAGTGCCGAGATATCTGGCCATCTGTTCGGAAAGGTATTGAAAAACTTTTATATGAGTTCTTTGGAAAGGAGTTTACCGGAAATTCTATAGCAAAGGAACGGGAGGTTTGAAAATTGCTTTAATAATGCAAAACATGTGATGAAAACCCATTTGTTGCGGATATGGGAATGAATTTCCACTGATTTTACACACAATTCTGATTTGCATTACTTTTTTGACACAATGTTTGCGTTCATACGACAGGAATGGAAACATAATTAAATGCCAACCAATTTAGTCCAACCCCTGCCTAACACCCGGTGCTCTGCTATATATGTACTAATTTGTGGTTTATTTGCTTTTAAAGGGCGTATACTTTGCCGATATGTTCACCAAAAGTCAGGGCTACTCGTCGTCCGGCGCTTTCGGCCAGAAGTTTATGTTTTTAAGTGAGGTATCGTTGGGCGCCATACAGGACGTCCGCATCCGAGACCTCCTGGAAAAGCCCTATACTCTCGACAAAGACAAACATAGTTTGAAGGCATCGCACACACAGTACACACCGGACCCCCAGTCCTCTGTCTACTGGAAAGGTAGGCGTCTCTCTATCACTCACTTGTAAACGTATTAATTTTTAACTAATTGTATGTATGGTTTGCACTGATAGGCCGTTCCGTTCCCATTGGAGAGCCTGTTAGACAGCACTATGAAGACAACGATTACTACGAAATCAATTATAACGAGTATATTGTCTTCAATACACAACAAATATGTTTACGTTATTTGATTCAATTCGAGGACTAATTCATGTGCAGAATATTCTGTGTTTATTATGTTTTCCTATTTTGTTCCTAACTTTTCATTATGTGATCCACTAATCAGTATACCATTGACTACAACCCAGACTTCATATATATTTCAATATATTTAAGAGTTATTAACTCTAATTTATAATCTCTAAAAGTTTAATTAAAAACAATTTTAGTAATCTAAAGTACACTAGATATTACACTAATAGTTTGTTAAAACAGGTTAATTACTGGGCAAGGATATCATACGTATATATACAAAATAATTGCAATTATGATATAAAAATATTTATATAAGAATAGTTTATTATTATTTAATTTCCAATTTATAAATTATGTTTTCATATAAACTACTGTATTTTGCATAACAAATATTACATTTCAAGTGACATCACGTTGTATCATTTATTACAATCTATAATGAAATACAATTGTTTAAAATATTCATTGCAATATTTATGTAAATTATTATAATAAAATGTTATATTTCAAAAACTAGTTGCTACCAATAGTATTAATAAGCTCGCAATCTGTTTACATTAACCAAAAATTATTTATATCTTAAGTACGATAATGATTTAAGAATAATACATTACATGCATTAGTTATTTAAATGACCGTACTTATCTACTAAACATTATCTACTGTATATAATGATTACAGTTGAATTTAATAAAATAATAATACTGTACTAGCATACAGTATCAAGTATTTTATAAACACAAGCTTATTATCAAACATATTTACGTTATGTTTACATACAGTATGATAGAAAACTATTGAATTTTATTGATTGCTTAACAAAGGCTATAATTTGAATAAAGTTCAGACTTTTAATTAACGCTATCATTCATAACGATATTCTTAATACAATTTTTTTATGATAACAATGATATAAAAGAAATTTTAATTAAAATACCTTATACTGTATCATAAGATCTATTGCAATGAGATGCTAATAATTAACTGGTGAAAATCTTAGACAGACTATTTAACTACTATATATTATACAGTGTATAACATAAATTAAATTTCGCAAATAAAGTTACTAATTTAATATAACAATTAGTGTACAACATAAATTAGTTACTATACTACAAACTTGATAAACTGATTAATTATATTTAATTTATAATTAAAAAGACCGTACTTAAAATAAAAATATAAATTGATTATGTTATAATGAACATAACATTTTGCGGTGTAAATGTGAGTAAACTATTTATAAATTATAATAAATATTTTAATTCAATAATACCTGCGCTTGTAATACATGTGCGCCGACAGTGGCGTCCGTACACATCATTTACACGCGAGACACCAAATTCCGGGCTAATTCTGAGCGGAATATTCCGGAATCTATACGATCTGATCGCTCGTACACTCAGTATACAAACGTTGTGTTCATTCATTGGATTTATTTGACTTGAATTTCAATAAAATATTTAAAATATATCCCCAATTAGGGTCACGTTTACCACACCATCGGATCCATCAAACTTCGGCACCCAATCGCCTGATGGCTCGTGGAGTGGATTAATCGGATTAGTGGCTAATAATGTAAGCACGCGTTCAGATGATTAACAAATCATGGGTTAGATGTTTAATTTTTTCCCACATATACTGCGTATGACTGCGTGGACAGGCATGTGATATATCGATAACACCGCTGGAGATCACATACAGTCGACTGAATCTCATGTCGTTTTCGGCGATTCTTATGTACGAGCCGTACGTTATCCTCACGAACGCTGACCACAACCGCAGGGTTGAGGTCATGGCGTACCTCAAGAGTATTGACAATGACGTCTGGGTCCTACTAGTCATCACACAATTAGTAATCATAGCTATTAATCTGGTGTACAATAAATACCTCCGAAAACGACCCGTAAATCTGCTGACTATAGCTAAATATATCACACATTCGTTGGGAATATTCGTAAAGAATTGTAATATTTTAAGCAAATATTCTGTCATTTTGTGACATATTATTAGTAATTGATTTTTGAAATTTGTTTGTCAGCCCCACTGGACCCCCACTTGAGGGGTGTGTTGTGTGTGGTATTGGTTTGCGTAACGCTATTAACTGTATGTTTGAATACATTGATCGACTCCAAAGTGATTGTCGCCGACAATTGCCACGCGATCGACACGTTGTCTCAGTTGGCCACCGATGACACACTTATACCCAGCTATTACTTCGGCACACCTATCGAGGAATACCTACGGGTGAGCGCAACACAGGCGTAGTTCACTACATAGGAAACTACATTCAAATTCAAGCTTTTCTAGTCATGTTTAAACAAATATTTATCAAATTGACTAATTTAATGATCAGGGTTCTTATAAATAAATGCGCACAGAATCGTAATCTTACAAATCGTAAATTGTCAACAATCTTAAAAATTATACATGTTTACCATGATTAAATTCACACAAAAAATCTATTTTTAAGAATAAAGGACAAATCATTATAAAATATATATTTTATAAAACGGCAACTAGGTCAATAATTAGATTATTTTAAAAAGTAATGCTGTGTATCTTTGTTAGATTTGCAATATTTTAATTGTTTAATAATTGATAAAGTGTGCATGCAATAACTATTAGAGTTATTTGCGGTGTTATTTAGTATGTAGAACACTGGGGAAAGGGGCTTCCTGATGGCTTCGCTACTGTTGTATTTCAATACCGTGTTTCGCTACGTTTGCGGCTTGGATAGCCACGTGCGAAGTGAGGATGAGTACGTGTCGGACGAGCGTATGGCCCGCCTATCGGAGCGCCGACTGGCCCTCATCGAGCTGGTGGGCGACGCCCGGTGTTTGCGGTACAAGTTGTGTGGGGTCGACCCCACCTTTAACCTCCACACGTCCGACGAGACCGTTATGAACACAATCCACGCGCTGGCCCTCCCTATAGGCACGCATACCCGGCTCATACACGCCATCAGTAAAATGTATACAACTTTTTAAATTAGATTTTTACATGTAATTAATACCCGGGTGATATACTATTTGTAGGGCTAATGTATATGCTATGTTAAGCAGGGAAAATTTACTATTTTTAAATTCTTTAAGTACTCTCAGAATACAGAATATTCTTATATTAAATGAGTTTCGAAACTAATATATAGTTTCATGCATTCAATGATAGCGTAAAACGGGTGACAATGTCGGGCATAACCACCAAATGGTTCGCCGACGCGATGCTCAATGACTTCAAACACGTGTCCAATGGTGTGAAAGCATGCGTTGGTGGGCACCGGGCGGTCGACTCGGACCTCAAATCTGTTGAATCCGTTTCACTGAATCATTTGAATTCATTGATTAAATGTGTGTTTTATTCGCATATATTAGCCGTGGTTTTGTTAATTACCGAGATTGTAGTCAACTTGCTAAACATACTGTTTCCCAAAGGGGCTGTTAATACACCAAAAAATTAATACACCTGCCATTCAACGCAATGAATTTCGAAATATATAATTTAAACCATTGTTGTAAATTATTGTGCAACAATTATGCAAATTGCAATATATAGATATATTTTAAAAATCAACAATAATTAACCGATACTGGCAACTATAAATTGATTTATGCAATTAGATAGATATCACTTGTTCAAAATGTACATTTTCCGTTATTCATTATAAAGCTTTTAATTTTACGGCACTTTTCAATCAGATTGTCGACCGATGGCTGTGTATTGTATGCGGAGTGTCAAGTCTTAATAGTTTTGAAATACACAATAATTTATCACAAAATATGATTTTTAAAATATATTCAAAAAGAACTTGTATTTAATTATAAAACATTCAAAGCTATCATATATTTCAGTGTATAGTATTGTATTGAAGTTGAAAACAAATCATTTAAAACTTGTTTGTCATCCAAACGTGTCTACCATCGCATCTCCCGTTCCCAAAGCGACTGCAAACCCGTTCCCATCCACTCATCCCTAACCTTCTCATCAATCAAATCGCTCTGACTTTGGGTCAAAACGGCTCTCCAGTCGCCGGGCATACCGTCCCCCTTGACATCAGTTGTCTGTATTATACGATCCAATAGAGTAGTGCTGTCATCACTACCGGTGCCCTCGCGTACGCCCAGTCTGTCCGCGTAATCCTAACGGCTCTCCAGTCGCCGGGCATACCGTCCCCCTTGACATCAGTTGTCTGTATTATACGATCCAATAGAGTAGTGCTGTCATCACTACCGGTGCCCTCGCGTACGCCCAGTCTGTCCGCGTAATCCTTACCCAAGAATTGAGCCATTTTTACGACACTATCCTTTTGGCTGTCAATCAAACTCTCGTACGTAATGAGCGTACAGTTGCCCCGATCCCTGTGCTCCCAATGGACTCTCGTAGCCTCGAAATAGTCGCCGTACGGGAGTTCCCGACCACTCATC